GTATACCCCACCTATTAAATTTAATATAAACTTGAGAATCGAATACAGAATCGAAGAGAATTGTTAGGATCCTTAATAATAATATTAGCTATATATAATATTTATTTTAAATACAATATATGAGATAAATTTATCAAAAAAAAAACAAAAAAAAAACTCTTTTTTAGGAAATTTTTGAGAAAATCAAAAAGAAAGCAAAGGGACAATGGGAGTCAGCCAAGCGTCAACATCAAATCAAGCACAGAAGTGGAAGAGGAACAGAAAGAAAAACAATAACTGCCACTAGAGAAGCTAGAGTCAAAGCAACCACCCTTATGAAAAAAGGACCAGGCAGACCTAAAAGCCTGGACAAAGGAAAACTGAAGAGAACGTAGGTGCGAGCAACAAGCATGGACCTAGGAGAAAGAAAAGTAAAAGTAAGTGGAGGGGAAAAGATAGAAGAGCAAGAGCAAGACACAGAAATGCAAAAGGAGGAACAGCCGAAACCAAATAATGAAGAAATAAGGACAACAGGAACAGACATCAGAGGAGAAGAAGGTGAAGAGCATAAAGGAAAGGCAAAAGAGGATGAAAGAGCGGAAGGCAGACCAAAAGAAGTGGGAAAGAAACCAAGATACACATGCAAACTAGAGCTACCGGCCAATAGGGAATTAGCAGAAAGAGCAGATATCATAGAAGAAACATGTATTGCTTTTGAATCCTTCTTGAGGGTAAGAGTAGGAAGAAGAACTATAGAAAGAAAAAAGATCATTGCTAACTTTGGAAATCTAATTGACATGCAAGAGGCATATGAAATCAATTTTGGTACAGACAACAACAGAGAGCACCTAGCCCCCACAGAACTGAAACAACACCAATCAGAAGAAAGAAACAGAGTAATCTTCAGGGATATCCCACTCTCAGCAAGCAAAGGAGCAATTAGGGCAACCCTGAAAAAATTTGGAGACATCTATACTATGGATATCTGCCTAGTGGAAATATGGCAGACAGTGATAGTAACTTTTAATGAAGAGAAAGATGTTCAACTATTGGCCAAAATGTGATCAATCCCATTTGAAAAAGAGTATCTAAGAATTCTTCCAAAGTGGGAGGAGAAAGAGGAACTGGAAAGAAGATTAAGATATGTACTAAAATTGGTAGGTTTGCCAGCAGGCACCACAGCTTATAACCTAGAAGAGATAGCAAGAGAAACAAACAGAAAAACCCTATACATTCCAAGGACAGGCAGATACTTTAGAGAAAGATTTGCATATGTGGCTTTTGAAACAGAGAACCAATTAAAAGCAGTCAAAATCCAAACCTTTAAATTGGACAGGATGATGATCAAATTCGAAGACCAATTTGAGAAACTGTGCTACAAGTGTGGACAGAGTGGGCACATCACCTTTTAATATGAGAAGATAAGAGTGCAAAGAGACAAAGCACTAGCTCAAGCAAGGTTTGTATCAATCCAGTCAAGGTTCAGAAAAGAACCAGAAAAAGAAGCTCCTATATCTTATGCAGAAATTCTGAGGAAGAGAAGCAGATTGAGATCAGTCTACAACAAAGAGAGAAGAGGAGAACAAGAAGGAATAAGAGAAAAACTAGACAGGGTTAGAAGAATTAATTAAAAATATGGAAACAAAAATTAATGTATTATGGAATTGGTGAAATGAGCTGCAAGAAGAGCAGGAGAACCAACAAACCAACAATAAGAGTACAGATGAGCAACAAATGCAATATCAAGATGCAGAAGAAATAGGCAGGGAAAAGGAAGAAATCCCTTTGGCAACATACAAGGCAATCAACAAGGAGGCAGTGGAAAGACAAGACAAACTAGAAAGGTAAATGGAACAGATGGGAAAAATGCTAAGCGAACTTTTGAAAAATGGTCAACTACTACCTAGTAAAAAGAGGCAATAACATGAAAGACAGTAGGAAACGCAAGGTCAAATAACAAATCCAAACAAGTATAACAGCACACTATAAGGATAAACATAATAATTCAAAAAATATCAACATGTACAAAGAAAAAAGAACTGACACAGAAAACATCAAAATTACGACAATAAACATGAATGGC